CAGACAACCCCGTAACAATATGCGTTTTGTACTGCTGTTACACAGCACAAAACGCATAAAAAGCATGCTGACAAAAGATCGTTTGTATATGCTGCGTTCGATTTTATTCAACGCAGCTAAGGAAGAAGTTTGCAAAAAAAGAAACTTAATGAAGCTGCAAAAATTCTGAGCAAGGGCTAATAAAAAATACAAAAATTGGCGTTAAACTGAAACTGCTGCGCATTATGATGTTTCCGTTTCGCCTCCAGAATATATACAGGAAACATCTAGTTGTGACGAAGCCTCGTCAGTATCTGATCCATATATTATAGACAAATACTAACAGTTTGTTATGGTGAACAAGAAAACAAAAAAAAAAAATCTAGGCTAGAATGCGCTAGGCTCGCCGGTACGATCATGCGTTTGCACCAGACATGAAATACTCAGGTCGCCAACTGTATGAATGGTTGTTGGTTAACACCTATCTTTTGCATCCACTAGCACAAATCATCGTAAATTTGCACAAAGGAAATGAACAATCTCCGTTTAACGGCCGCTCTCTGAAAACGACCCAGCTGTTCAATAAGCAATTTTCCCACCAAAACTTTTAAGTGCCCGCATGTGAGAACCATGCGAACCTAGAGACTGAATTTGAAATATTTAAGTCGTAATTGCGCAGGGAGCATTCCTTTAAAATCCAGCTTTCTAGCTTTTCTGACTGCTGAGTTAACAATTTTCCCATAAATTTCAAGTGCTCGTACGTGAAAATCACGCACAGCTAGGGACTGAACTTGAAATCATTAGCTTATAAATGCACAGAGAATATCCTTGCAAAATTTCAGCTCTCTATCTTTTCCGGTCCCGAGACCACTTTCCTGCCAAAAAATCTGCATATTTTTTTTAAGGCGTCCGTACGCAGCGCTCAAGCGTACGCGAGAGTCGTACACATTAGGAGTTTCAGCCTCCTGGCTTTTCTGGCTCTTGAGTTGAAAGTGGGTGACAAAAAGTGTGAGCACACCGACAAACACACAGCACCTTGCTAATATGCGTTCTTGCAATTGCATATTTGCAAAACGCATTTAAAAAAAATCAAAAAATGAGTTCCACGGAAAAGAAAGGAACAAAGATTTGTGAGTTTGGAAAAAGGTGAGAAATTGAAAAAGCAGTAAAAAACAAGAACCGTACCATTCGCGCCACATAGTGCTACAATGCGTTGTGCAATGTTTATAAGACATAAGTGTACGTAAGACTGTATGAGACATAAGTGTACGTAAGACATTGTTTACAATGTCAAAAATGTCTTACGTACACTTATGTCTTATATAGGGATGCTTGAAAAAAAAAAATTAAAACGTGGAAGGACAATGTGGCGAACTAGTCAAGCTAAAAATCTTACGACATCCTCGAGTTCACGTGCGACCTAAAGACTTTAGACTCAGTTCTGGAATACGCAGGGACTCCGCGCGAAAGCAAGTGAAATTTTAAAAAGGAGCACCGCTGGCCCCTTTTAAGTCAGCACACGGCCTACGATGTTTGCTGCCCATGTGTAGGCTCGCAAGAGCTTTCGCCTATACCTAGGCCACACGTTCGGACATGTCAGATGTTCAGTATGCAAAACTGCAGTTGCATTTATGTGCCTATGTACAGCTCTAAATGCGCAAAATTAGCTTTCAAGAATGTCTGTGTCTTATATATTCCGAACATGGCAAATTTCAGGTCGCAAAATCGCCTGGACCCCTGTTTACGGTAATCAGGCATAACAGGACGCCAAAATCCTACGAGGCCTCACAGTGCACCGCCACTGACTCACCGGCCGGCTCTCCATCTCAAATCAGAAAGGAAGAACCAACAAGAATTCTCCAACACTGTTGCAAATATCAAGTTATAAAGCAATGAACGTTCTTACATTGATCACACAAATAATTATTTGTCCTTTTCTCTTCACACTATTTTAATCGAGGACAGCTCCAACTCATTAAATATGACACAAATAATCAACTGTTTTTTTTTTTGTTATTTTCTAATATTTTATAAGTTTAATGACTCATAATGATTTATCATCTTTCTTTCTTACTTTGAATAAGTTGTTATCCTTGGACTAACCTTTGGACAGCCAAACATCACCAGGGTGATGCAATCATATAACCTTTGATCATTCTCATATATGAGAAA